GCCTCTCCCTGCACTCACAGCACCTTTCCAAGCCAGCACGGGCTCACCACCGCCTTGCTGCACGTGGCCAACTGCCAGCAGGAGGGAGGCCGAAGCAGCTCCTCTCCCTCGCACCCGGTGAGCTGCAGCCCGGGCTCCTGGGTCACTGGTGAGTGCCCCGCAGCACCAGCCCCGCTCATCGAGATGCCCCTCTGCCACGGCTCTTGACACTCAACGGGCTCGCTTTGCTTTTCCAGTCTGCCTTTCCAAGAAGTGTTTGCATCTCAGCGAGCTTTGAAACCCCAGTCCTGCGGCCGTGCATTTCCTCCAGCCCCCAAAACCAAAGCGGAGGCACGTCCCCGCAGTGCAGCTGCCCTGGCTGCTCCAGGTTGATGGTCTCTCTCAGTGGAGGACAGCACCGGCACGGGGCCACCCCGGGCACTTCGTCATGCCGCAGCTGGCTGATTAAGCTGAGGCAGCAAAAGGAGGTCCCTAACGGGATGGGGGAATGCCTCCCGCCTGCTCGCGCACTCGACGCCTCTCTTCGCCCCTCTGGGTGACGGCACGCACTCACCGCCCACCGCGGTGTCCTTGGGGCTGGAACCTTCACGCCCCGATACACGGCTGGAGCTGCTCTCGCTTGCAGTCCTTTCTCAGTGCCTCTGGCTCGAGTTTGAGAGGGATCCACGAGCCTTGGATTTCCCAATGTTCCCCGGATTGACCTGACAAGCAGACAGGACTACGGCCTCCTAACCAGGGTTAGCATTTGCAGCCTTCAAAGAGTTTTCGGCAAGTGTGCTCCAGCTGCTTGCACACAGCAGACCCATCGCTGAAGACCGCTCAGGAGAGTCCCCTCCTCCTCGCACACAACGCTGTCCCCGTCCGGGGTCCCTTTCGCCCTCCTCTGACTCCCCACGACAGCAGAGCGTGACAAGCAAACATGCTGCTGCTGGCAGCGCTTGTGGCCACAGCCGCTTGGTCTTGTAAGTCATTCTATAGTTCCAGATCTTTCCTCACAGGCACCCCTGGCTGTGCTAACAGGCCTCTTCCCAAATCCCTGAATTCAGCTGGTGACATACTTTCTCCTCTTTTCTTTCCTAGATGGATTTGCACAAGAAATTCCCGTGCAAAGCCCTATATCCATCACCAAGTTCCGAAAAAGTGCACGGATGACCTGTGAAATTAAATCACTGGGGGCAAGCTTCGGTGGCACCGTCATACACTGGTATCAGCAGAAGGAGGGTAAAGCTCCAGAGAGGCTACTGTATTTTTCAGAAGGGAAAGCTTCGGTTGAAAGTGGCTTTGAAGTGAACAGGTACATTGTTGAAACAGTTTCTGGCCAGAACCGCTGTGTTCTTACAATAAAAGATGTAATGCCAGACGATGCTGCTACTTACTACTGCGCCTACTGGGACCCTCACTGTGATAGGAATTCGAAGGTCACCAAGGCAAAAAGAAAACCTCCGTCAACGTCTGAACCACAGAGTTGTAACTGTGCCACTTCCCCAGTCTTCTCACTCCATCAGCTGCAGAAAGGCCAAACCTTGTTCTGTTACCCCAAAAGAGGAGCTAACCCACACAACTCTCCTTTTCAAAGTCTGGGTTGCCATTAGCACTCTCAACTCCAAACGCACATCTACTATTTTAAGGACAAAGGAAATCCGCACTGCCTGAAGACTTAGCACATAAATTCTTGAAACTCACCTGCTCCTTTCGTGCTTCTTGCCCAACCGTGGCAGAAGTCTGAAAATCATTGCATTGATTTTCTAGTCCAGCGACTGCTGTCCCCAGGAAAGAGGGCTGCAAAAGAAAGTCAACATGCTGAAGAAAGCACCTTGGTGGTAGGAACAACATGCTTGCCACAGCCTAGCGCTTCTAGGAAAAAGGTCCCCTCTATGGTCTTCCCTGCTGTACATGTAAGCAACTGTGGGTCTCTGCAAGTATCGTTTACCTAACTCGGATACCACAAAATCTCATATAGAGCAATTTAAATCAGAGGTTTACAGTCTCTTTTCTACCATAGCTGATGATGTGCTGCTTCTATCCATCCTCTTCTTTCATTTCATGTTAAGGCAAATAGGATGAACAGGGGTTTTGGGGAAGGTGGGAGATTTGCTAAAACTATCAAGTTTGAGGGACTCATTTCAAATTTGCAGTGAGTTAGTACGTGGCCCTGAGCACAGCAAGCATTTCACACAAGGAATAATTTTTGCTTGTGCTTTTAGCCCTGTCTGTGCCTACTCATCAGCTTTTCTTTGTCTGATGAGGGGTGTAACTGGATGCCTGAAATGCTGGGCCATCACACGGAATGAGCTATGGGACTTCAGAAAGAAGGTCAGGCTAGCTGCAAATAAACACTAAACACCAGTAACCTCAGGTCCTAAACGCCTTAAAGACAAAGTGAAGTTTAAAGGAGGGAAGTGCTCACTGATTTCACTGGATCCTGTTGGTATCTTCAGGACTGGTCAAGGGTGTGACGCACAGCTCTCAGCCAGAAACTGGGACTCTGACATGCTGTCTTTAGTCATAGGAGCTCATGGCAGTTTTCCAAAGAGTTTCCGCTTAGTTCAGTGGATCATCCTTATTTTTTGTTGTTTTCTGCCTTCCACGTGCAGTGGCTTGCACCCTCCATCGCTACTGCACTTACAGTGCTGCAGGCAACGTTGCTGTTTGTCTCAAGAAACCTTCCCTTGTGGTCCTGTTATGGTGTCAGAAAGCTTCCTGAAGCAGACCGCATCGTCCTCGGAGCAGGTGGCATCACTATGCCTGCTTGGTGGTAGCAAAATCGATGTGGACCGTTAAGGGACCCATCTCCAGTGGTTTCACCACCTCTAGCTCACTCCAGATGTCTCAAAGGGGACCAGCACTTCCCGAGCTTCACAGTGGCCGTCCATGGGCTGTCCACAGAGCAAAGCCTCATGCAGGGAGGAGTCTCCTTCTTCCCTTCCTGTCCTGTCCTGTCCCGTCCCGTCCCGTCTCACTTGCTCCCCCATCCCCACAGCTCCCAGCAGGAGTTCAGGGACAGGTTCCTCTGCCTTGACGCACACCGTCACCAGCTGCCACCCAAGGGAGTCCCCTCCTCCTCCCACATAGCATTGCTCACACTGCACCACAGCCGATTTCCTTCTCCTCTGACTCCCCGCGACAGCAGAGCGTGACAAGCAAACATGCTGCTGCTGGCAGCGCTTGTGGCCACAACCGCTTGGTCTTGTAAGTCCTTCCGTAGTTCCAGATCTTTCCTCACAGGCACCCCTGGCTGTGCTAACAGGCCTCTTCCCAAATCCCTGAATTCAGCTGGTGACATCCTTTCTCCTCTTTTCTTTCCTAGATGGATTTGCACAAGAAATTCCCGTGCAGACCCCTCTCTCCATCACCAAGGCTAAAGGAACTGTGCGCCTGGAATGTCACTTTAAAGGTGTCTCCCAAGATTTTGATAACACCGTCATACACTGGTATCAGCAGAAGGCGAATAAAGCTCCAGAGAGGATTCTCTACTTTTCACAGTCAAAAACAGTAGACGAGGGCTTCCAAGCACACCGGTACATAGTTGAAAGACTTTCTAGCCAGAAAGTGTGTATTCTTGCAATAAACAATGTCATTCCAGACGACGCTGCGACCTACTACTGCGCGTACTGGCAGAGTCACCTTGGCAGAAACTCCGAGATCACCGAGACAAATACTCCCTCAGTGTCTCAACCACAGACAACTTCAAAGATCCCAGCTCACATCCCCAGTGTGGATGAACCGCCTGGCCTCAGGCGCAAGCTCTGGAGACGCAGGACGTTCTCAGTGCTGACTGATGCCTTGGAAGCATCAGCTGCCAAAAGCCAGAGATTGCGACGGAGCAAGTGCACAGTGCAAAAGGAACGGTGATGGTCCAGTATCTGTCCAACATCTAACCCATCCTCTCCTTTCCACCTGCTCCTCCTTTTCGGTCAAGCATGTCAGTGGTCTGGTTGTAATGATTTATTTAATGGACAGGGGCATTTTTATTTATTTATTTTTTCCATAATGTTGTTCCTGGAAATAGGTTAGCACATGGTACTATAATGCTTCAAAGCCTTTGGCCTGACAAAGAAAACTGAAGTAGAGAGCTTTAGCCTGATGGTTTGCAAAAATTTGAGGCAAGGCAAAGGAGTATTAGTTTCACTGAAAAGTTAGTAGCTGTTGGAGGAGGAAGATTTTCCTCCTGAAATCTGGAGATGCGCTTTTTTGTTCATTTTTTGAGCTGTATCATTCCCTTTCCCCATCTTCTTGCTTATCACTGTCTGCGTTTCACTGGTGTTGCATCTGAATCACCAAAAAAGGTGGAGACGGAGTTACCAAAGTGAGTACCAAAGAAAAGAGCTTTGCATAGTTAAGAACAACTTTTCACACTTATTCATAGGCAGTGCATCCCTCCTAGCTACTGCTTCAAGGTGCATGCCTGAGAAATTCATCCACAGAGGTTTTTTCTACCATCAAGCCTCTCCTTAATACTTTCCTTCGCTGTGGTACCCCGATACTCTCCTCACTTGGTTCACCAAAGTGTAACTCATTAAAGAATACTAGTTTGACGGGACGAAAAAGTGACACAACAATTTCAAATATGTATTAGGTCTCCAAATGGTTATAGGTCTGTTTTGTCCTCCTCATCCAAGCCCAGATCATACAGGGGAGTTAGACAAGCTGTCTGCAACGTGCACTGTTTCACGTTGTCCCTTCTAATGAGACATCCCAGCTATACACTGCCGTGACCATAACCCAGGAGTCCCAGGAACTGTCGGTGAGGTGGTGGTGGCCTCCTCTGCTATGTGTCTAAGGACACAGCAGGAAAACCACCGGTGGGCACCGGTCTCTGTCCACATCGCTCCTGCCATTGCTTTGTGGTTGTGATTACAATGTTCCTGCCCAGGAGCCTTCAGAGTAGACGATTGCTTTTGTTACACCTACTTCAACTGAAAGACCTTCACCCCCAGCCTAGTTCCTCCCTCTAACCACAAATTGTACTTTCTTAATGTTGTTTTGCAGTCAGTATGCCACATGAGATCCCAGAAGTACTCAAACTCAGCGTCTTTTAAATGGCAAACTAAGCATGCAGGCTGTTTGATTGACAGTAGCGGTGACTCCTCTGATGTTATCTTGGGCTGTTTTACAGGAAACTCCTGCGCAAAGGAAAAGCCTCCATCTCCCACCAGCCAGCATGTGAAAAGCTGCCGGTGAGCTGCTGTTGCAGAGCCTGGAGTGATTCCAGGAGATGAGCAGACAGTAACAACGTACCAGAGGCAGAAAACACAACCTGCAGCACACAGATATCTTCGCGATGTTTATCGTGCTGGCTTTCCCTCCACTGAGTTGTAAAAAACCAACTAAACGTGAATTCCACACTAATACTACTTGATGTCACTTAATTGCAGGTGAGATGGGGTGTAACCCTTTGGGAAAGAGCAAGATCGTCACCTGAAGGTATGTGGTTTTTTTACATGCACAACCCTGTGCACCTATTTGTGTATCTAAAACTGAAGAGAAAACTTCACCTACCTCTTAGGTGTTAAGCGAAGACATTATCTAACAAAACTGTCACACTTTAGGAAAGAGTTTTGCTCCGAAGGGCTTTAGATATCAGCTGAACAAGCAGGTGCAAGTCTGAAATTCCTGACATCCTCCCAGCAGCCAAGGGCCAGGCTTCACACAGTCTCCCAGGGCTGACGACTGGGAAAAAAAATGGGACTTTCTTCAGCAATGGCATAGCAAGAGAGCATGTTAGATTATTGTAAAGTCAAAACATAGTGTGGAGCACCTGGATCAAATACTTCGGCAGGGGAACCAAGCTAATTGTTTCTAGTAAGTGCCATTATTACTGATCTGATTTTTGCAGAGTCATTCAGGTTCTCAGATAATTAAGAATGAAAGACTGTAGGAAAATTAATTTCTGCCTGATAAATCATGTTTTGCCTGTGAACTGTGTGTGGTGCCCCAGCTGGGTGGGCTGATGGACAATAAATATATTGACCTCGTGAATAGAGAGATCACCTCTAGAACAATTACTGAATACTTATTAAGGACGGGGGAATGGAAAAATGAGGAGAGGTAAAAATTTAAACATTAGAATGGATTCATTGCTGTTCTGGGAAAGAAAAGTGAACTGCTTGAAAGTTTACTCTCAGAACAGCAAGTGAGAAATGCAAAAAGTTTCTTATTGATAGAGGTGGTTCAGCCTAAGTTGATTGGGAAGGAAAATTGCCTGGACTGTAACAAATTTCTAGTTCCTGGCCCTACTGAAAGTAACTGGTTTACTTTTGCATTTGTATTATTAATTGCGGTGAAGCTATGCGATCAATAGGATGAATGTTGTTTTCAGCATAAAGCATCTAGCAATGCCTACAGTATGTTGCTCAGAAAATCCATGATATTTATTGTCAAGGTAACTATAATTAAGTCAAACTGTAAAAAGCAGAGGAGAGTTACAGAGAAATTTAAAATGTTATCCATGCCTCTGACCACAAATGTTCTCTGCTGCAATTTGCAATTAAACTTTGCTCATGCAGAGGAAGCTGCTTTTGCCGAAAAGACGACAGCGTAACCACTTACCAAAGGCATGAACTTAGTTACAGGTGTCAGTAAGTTTTGTTTAGAATACAGACTTTGCATTTAAAGTATGGGCTTCAAAATAAGAGTTCGATGAAACTTTAGTTAAGGTACTTTCACATAACAAGTAATTTGCAAGATAGGACACTTAGGAAAAAAAATTGTTTACCTGTATATTTAAATCAACAAATAACGAGTAAACTTTCTTAATTTCCTTTGGGAATCATAATGTAACTGCATTTCTTCTTAGAACAGCAAAAAGAGATTCCTTCAGAGAAAACCTAGCAGATCAGATGCGACAGATCTTTGTTAGAAAAATCCCAGGGCTAAAAAGATTAGCACATAGTTATAAAATAAGCACAGCACTGCCTTCTTCTCAGAAGATGCTGGTGTTAAAAAGCTGAACTTTTTACTCACTTCAATGTTGAAAATTCAGCTATTGCACTGAGCCAGATTTATCACCAACCTCTAAATCAGAGAGACTTTTCTGTAGCCTATGCAAGAAAAGTGCAGTGCGGGAGATATTGTTAAGCATTATCAGACTGTGGGATGCTGATGTCAAAATATTTGGAAGTGGAACTAAGCTTATTGTTTCAAGTAAGTGCAAAATGTAAAGCTTAACTACTTCTGAAATGCTTTTCAATACAGTTAGACACTGGCTGCGTGAAGTGCTCTGCTATTTTAGCTCCTGCTAGTTTTAACCCTACTGAATGCTTTGCAGGATTTTCCTTTTGAACAGCATTTCCATATGCAGAACACAACACAATTGTTTTGTATTTATGTATGAAATGGGGGAAACACAACAACTGTTACAGCACAGATGTATGACTAACCACATTGTTATTTTCTTTTGAAACATTACTTTAAATATGGCAAAGATAGCATTTGGAGAACTGAAAGATGTTTTTTCTCTTTAAATACAGATATTCAACCTTTGTCATATTTCTAATTAATTCTGAAAGAAAAGTGTTAAACCTTTGGGTTACTTTGAAAAGCAAAACGTTTTCCTTTAGCAATATGGCTGACTATACCAAATGAAAGGCGTTATCTGAGATGTATCCAGAACTATCTGAAGATACGCATAGTTGAAAAGCTGCTCCCTTCCTAGTTTTTGCAGAAACAATTTATCAGTTATTAGCGTTATTAAGGAAGAATGTCAAACTCAAAATGTTTTGTCATACTTATCAAAATTATTTTGTTTCAAGTAAACTTCAGGTGCTTTGATACTTGCCTGTAATTCAGCTCAGCTAAGTGCCTGAGATGAAAACAGTCTGTGTAATGTTGACCACCTGAAATCAGTGTATCTGTTAGTGGGAGGTTTGATTCCAACCCAAGCAGGGTTTTGCTTCATGTTACTGACAGCAAAAATATTGGTTGGGGGTCTTGTGCTGCTCAGATCTCAGCATAATGTTCATCAGTTCTAGGTCTGATTTTACAGGGGTGTATAAAGAGTAAATTACTTGGCCAATATCTGATCAAATAGATCCTCTACTGGTGCTGCCTCTCTCCAGAAAGCAGAGATGGACCCAAGGTGCTCAATCTGCACCATCCATCTAAATTTTCAGAAGACTAAAATTAGTTGAGATGAATCCTGTCCATTTAACAACATACATGCCCTCAAAAACCTCCACACTTTTTTTTTTTCCAGTTTAGTTTAGGCAACTGCTCCTTTTTTACTTTTCTAGGGTCCAAAAATTGATTATACAGCAAATCTGATTTTTTTTAAAGAATACTATTTACCCATATAAAGATAACCAAGCTGTACTGTTATTGCAAAGACGTTATTCACTGTGATTGGTTATTACAACAAGATGTTTGGCTCCGGTACAAAACTCATTGTGTCAGGTAAGTGGCATGCTATTTTCCATACAATAAGCTATAGGAGCTTGGGCTGGTCATATAGATGAGTGTTACAGTGTCCCAGAGGGCACTCAGCCCACTTCAAGCCTTAGTTGGCAACATCCTTGCACGGGATTCCCCTCCCCAGCTTGTCATTCCTACAGTAAGCCTCGTTGTATTTGTAATGTAGTGGTTTAGGATCACAAACATTGCTGAAAAGGAGCTATTTTGAGCTACTTTTGATCATACTCCTCCTTGGAAGTGTGGTGGAAAATGGCCTGTAGTAGTTTCCAGAGCCCTCGTTCTTTCCTCCAGCTGTACTGAAGGAATAAGCAGGGAATCAAGCAGCTGTGACTGTGAATTAAGCATAAAAAAAGGAAAATCTCTTCCCAACACAGATACAAGGAGCAATATGCGATGGCCATTGCCAAAATCCTTTTTTAATCAGGCTACCGGAAGTGAAATAACTTGTCCGTAACTATTTTTGTCACGTACACAGCACTTGGGCAGTAGAAATAAATTAGTACCTCCAAATGCTCTTCTTATTGCTTAATAACATGCATATGAAGTGATCCGTTTTTTTTGCCTTTCCTGCAGAGACATTTATTTTAATGGAAAGTGGAGGACAAAAATCTTCTTTTTCCCATTAAATGTGCTTTAAATGCCATAATCCTAGAGTAAACAACTACACAAACACAAGGCAGAGGAACTATTGTTACCAAATGTTTTAAGCCTGGTTAAATAGATAAATGTGTATTAGCATATCAGGTAAAGATTGTTTTTAATGATTTATGTCAGAAAGACTAAGTACATCATAACTATAATTCAACAGAAATATGTATGTCAGGATAAGCGTGTTGTTTTTAGTGAAAATCCTTACCTTGTTAATCAGGTAGCTGCCATGCTTTTAGTATCTACAGTTTAAAATAAATTATTTTCAAGTATCACTCTAAGTCTGTAGGATTTTGTCTTTATGCAGCCAAGGCTTCTGACCAATTAACAGAGTAAAAGGGCTGTAGTTACCTCACACTTAAGATCAGGTACTTCATCACAGCTTGTCTTTTCAGAGGTGACCATTCAGCATTAGCTCAGTAAGGTATTCCTAATGGAAAGGAATGGAGAAAAGCAGGACTTAGAATAGTGACCTTAATTCAACTGAATCATCAGGGTTTGAGCTTGAGTAGAATCTTTTCCCAAATCTATACTAAAAGAATCAAATATATAGAGTCAAATATATAAAAACTTGTAATGAACTTGATTTTGTTCTTTTTGGTCTCTTTTAATTAGTCCTGATCAAAAGAAAGTTGCTTGAGACTGACAATAATGCAGGTAACAGAAGGGCTGGTTTGGCATTTGCATTTGGTCAACAGATGAGGTTTTAGAAGTTTACAGCAGAACGGGAATATTAATCCAACATAAACTGGCAATACAAGATTCTTCTCCAAGTAACTTTCCAGGGAATTTAGGAATTCAAAAGGTTGCAACAGGGAAGCTGAGACTGAACTGAAGACTGAACCAGCCTCTCCAATTTTTTCCTTCCGCACGGCAGCCGAGCGGCTTGCTCAGCCAGCGTGGGGATGGTTTCCCTCTGCCATCTCTTCTGCTACAGCTGCAGCTGGGTGTCCCTGGCAACTCACAAGAGTACTGCTAACTTATTTTGAAGCAATAAAAAGAACAATCTACTAACATTTCTAGGAAATAATTTCATAGCAGAAATTATGGCAGAAATATTTCATTTTTTTAAAAGCCATCTCCTAAATATTACTGAAGTATCTACCTTGTTTTCATCAAATGCACTGAAGTTCAGAGTTCAAAAAGCTAGAATTATTTTTTGTAATTATGTATTATAAAATATACATTGCCTAAAGATAGATTATACTTAAATCTATTTAAACATTACCTGAAGTTGGATTAAACTGACTTTCTGCCATTTTAAATCAAAATGGTGAAGATTAATGTATGCATTAGTTTGCATTAGTACTTTTTTTTTAACGGGGGAAAAACATGAAGCCCTGAATCAAAACCCTGCAGACTTGAAAGTCAAAACAAGTGTTAGGGCAGAAGGATGCAGCTGTAAGACATAAATAAGGGAAAATGTAGTCACTGAAAAGAAATCTGCAGAGTGAAAGCCTCTTACTATGATTAATATTAATAGGAACATTTGCTAACAGCTTTAAAATATTAAGGATTTCATGGGCATGAAGATGAATTCAGCATCTGATTCTTTTAAGGCAACGTTCACAAACAGGTTTCCGTGTGAACATTCCCCTGTTCATAATAGTCTCTGTTATCCTAAAGCCGTGGCCCAAAAAGATCAGCTTGAATTGGTGACAGCATGCAGCGCTAGGGTCTTGTTGTACACAGATGTAAATGCATATATATATATATATATATGAATGTATTATTTCCCATGTTGTCAAGGTGATAACCTTTACTGTTCCTCACGTTTTCCATGGAAACCTCAGGGGATGCTGAAGGAGTCCCAGAAAATAACAAATCTCAGGTGCGCAGGATCTGCTTAAATATTTCCGTGCTTTTGAATGTGCACTGTTAAATTAGGGCTCCATCCTCCATTTTGTCAGTATGCTGAATCCTTAGTTTTTATGTACATGCAAGCTTATCTATTTAAACCTGAAAGACTAACATAAGTGAAATCTGTTGTGTGAGCAAACACACGCTCATCCATACAGCATTTTGTAAGGAAAGTTTTAATTATGGAAATCAGTGTCAAAAGAAACAAGTGCATTTCTAACAAGAAAATGAGGCTAAGCTGGGACACAAAATGAGGTTTTAGAAACATTGAGACTAGGTGGGTTTTTGCAAAGCACTTGTATACAGTGGCTATTACAAAGTCTTCGGAACTGGCACAAAGCTTATTGTTTCTGGTAAGTTTTTTTAGTATCTAGAGAAAATATGCCTTATTCTGATAATCCAAAATCTAGAGGAGAGGGAATGTGATATGCTATCTTATAATACAAATTAAAGTACAGATTTAAAAGTATAATAGAGAAAAGTGATGTGGACTTCACAGCAGTCTAATTCATTTCTTTAGCACCCAAATGCTTGTGTAAGAGAGGTCGGGGTAAACTATAGGACTTCATATAAACCATAAATTGCTGAAATAGAACTTCTTTTGCATACTTCGGGCTGCATGAGCTATTTCCCTTGTTCAAAGCTTACTGCTCAGAGCAGCGGGGTCAGGGTGACTCAGAAGCGCGGCTGTCGATCGCCCCTTGGCCTCAGAGCAGGGGTAATAGAGGTGCTATACAGGAAAACACTGTGAGTGCCAGCGGATCCCCTAAACCACGGCTGAAGCTCGGCATCTCTCTGTTTGGTCAAGGGGAAGGTCTTTCCCGTGGATTTGTCCTAACAAAGTTGATTAGAGAAGTGATCATCCCTTTGTACTCCGCACTAGTGAGGCCGCACCTCAAATACAGTGTCCAGTTCTGTGCCCCTCACTACAAGAAGGACATTGAGGGGCTGGAGAGAGTCCAGAGAAGGGCAACGAAGGTGGTGAAGGGTCTGGAGCACAAGTCTGATGGGGAGCGGCTGAGGGAGCTGGGGGGGTTTGGTCTGGAGAAGAGGAGGCTGAGGGGAGACCTCATTGCCCTCTACAATGACCTGAAAGGAGGTTGTAGCGAGGTGGGCGTCGGTCCCTTCTCCCCGGTAACTGGCAACGGGACAAGAGGAAACGGTCTCAAGTTGCGCCAGGGGAGGTTCAGGTTGGATATCAGGAAGAACTTCTTCACTGTAAGAGTCGTTAACCATTGGAACAGGCTCCCTGGGGAGCTGGTGGACTCACCATCCCTGGAGGTGTTCAAAAAACATTTAGAAGTGGCGCTCCGAGACATGGTTTAGTGGCCATGGTGGCGTTGGGTAGAAGGTTGGACTTGATGATCTTTGAGGTCTCTTCCAACTATAATGATTCTATGATTTCTTCCAGCCAAGAGGAACTGAGCTCTCCTGGATGCGCCGTAGCATTGGTTAGCTGCAGGCAGACAATAAATAATCAGAAGATTAAAATGTGGGGGGAAATCCTGGACCTTTCGAAATATTGCCATTGGTTTCAGTGTCAGGAGGATTTCATGTGAGATGCCCATGGTTTTCCCTGGGGAGAAGCCACAAGGCCCTGGGGAAGGACATGCATGGGAATGATGGAAGTTGATGCTTCTCTACAGCATACATAGATGCACGTCTGATGTTTCCTTTTGGTACTGCCTGCCTGCAATAGTACCGTGTAGGCAAGTAGGGCAGGATTTGAGGGTGAACAGTCCTAATCCCACATCCATTTAGGCAGATTACAGTAACTTCAACATGAAGGAGATTAAGCCCAAAATGAGTAAAAGCCTCTCCACCAGGCTTGAGAGGAGTTGTGGCTGTTCAGGACCGTCTTTCATTAATTCAGTGAAATGGTGGTCCAGCATGCATATATTTTTAAATTGTGTGGTCAAAAACACTCACTATCCCAGAAAAAAAAAAAATCTAGAGGAAATACGGTAGCTCAGTCACTGCTTCAGACAGCAATAGCGTTTGTTTTGATCTTTTTTTTTAAACAAGCGATGGTGAAGATTAACTTGAAACTGAATTTAAAGTATGTATCACTACAGGCTCTTTGGGAATAGCAGCATTAGCTGAGATTGAATTCCCATTTTCTACATTCATGTAGCCAAATGAATAGACCCTTACTGTTCATATGATGGTTGGTAAATCTGGTCCTTGTCAGGCCAAAATTTTCCAAGCAGTTTCTGTAAGGGAATGTACCAGTGGGTGTTCGAAAAGGTATTTGGTTCTGGCACAAAACTCATCATCTCCAGTAAGTGTTTTCAAAGACTTATTTTTTTAAGTTTTGTAATGGGAAAGCTTTGGAGTGAAGGCTGACAGCTCTTTAAGGTATCTGGGGAGGCTCACAGTAGGTCAGGACTGTACTACGTGATTATCACTGAAAATACCTGAAGTGGCTGGCAAGCAGGACAAGAATGCTGTTGATGAGCTGAGTAAGCTGAGTGCTCGCATCTCCCACTGGTTTGAAGGGGAAATGAGGAACTTTCAGTATCAGACAAAATTACTCTATTTTGTGGGATCATCCAAGTAATGAGAATTAAAATTTCAGCTTAAGAACACCTTGATCTCATTTATCGATCTTACTTATAGGCGCTTGTAAAGAAACTGTAGAGGAGTTTCACGTTTTAGCTTCAGAAATATCTGCACATGCTTATATACTATTTCAAAAACTAAGACCTACGTACCTCTTCAAACCTGACTTAGAATATTGTTTAACAAAATAAACAGCAAAAATTTTGAAAGTTTAACTAAATCGAAAAAGACAGTGGAGTGGAAGTTCATGACTTTAAAATTCTTCAGAAAGGATCACATCATTTGCCCAGAAAAAACAGTGTAAACTGTCTTGTTGACTCTAACGACTTTACAGAACAGCCTGAAAATACATCAAAATCTACAGCCAATTCTACCAGTTTTCATCCTTTTTTTCCATAAACACACCTACAGTTTATGGAGATTTTTTGTTTCTTTTTTCCCCACAAGCGAACTTACTTATATATATGTGTGTATATATGCAAAACTGAATTTGTTCAGTTCTCCACTGTCATCCATTCACCTCTGTGTGTACATGAGACTCTCCCATGCATACACACAGTTGCAGTTATTTAAGTACTTATTTAAGTTTCCTCAGTACTGTGATATGATTTTGGTATTTCATTTAAGCTAAGCACCTACGGTCTTTTTACGGTAGATGGAAAGACACTGGCAATTCCAGAGATGAAAATTATGCCATCTTTATAGAAGTCTCTAAAATGGGCAGGACGAACTAGCAGCTGGAAGCATATCTCTCTGTCTCTCTATTTAGATTTGATAATCCCAGAGAATAACATCAAACCAGACAGTTAAATTTTAGGCTACTGTAATTAGTCAGGGTAACTTAATAAGCTTTGTAAATCTAAAAGAAACATCTAAAATAGTCATGAGGCTTTGCAGAGTGCATTGTCACTGGGACAGGAGCTGTATCGTGGTCTTCTGAACATATACAACTCTCGAACAAATTAATTATTTTAGAAATTAGTTTAATCTTGCATCCCTGGGAGGACTGATGCGTAAAGAAGATAAAATTAACCCCTGAATTAATGTTAGAGAACCATAAAATTGTTAGCAATTTTTTTTCTGGTACAATAGAACTCAGTTCACGTTTCAATGATAAATCTCTGAAATGAATGAAATTCATAATATAAGGGTTATCTTTTTGAAAGCAGCCACCCTTACGCTTTGGACATCTTTGTTATTAAACACCGAGAATGGAATAGTCCAGTGAGGTTGTTTTAAGGGGGATGCAATGTAGAAGATTGCTCTAGAATAGCCAGATCATTTAAAGAAAGGTCGAAGCTTTTTGACAAAAATACATGGTTATATTAATGTGTTTTCTCAGAACGCACGAAAACTGCCCCACCCAGCCAGACCACACTTTAAACCCAGTGTATCTAGCTGCTCAAATTCAGTGGCAGAGATTTACACAGGAATCTAAAGACAAAGAGTAATGTAAGAAGATGGACACCTAAAATGTCTCTGCTGCCTTAAAAAAAAAAATAGTCTTAAACAAACCTTCTATGTAACAAAAGTAAATTTTGAAAACTGTATCTAGTCTTCACTTGCAGTTAAGCATAGACAAAAATTATTACCCATGAGCACTGCCTATGCACACACTGCAGAATTTCACATTTAACCAGACTCTTAAATATCAAAATGCCTTCTCTGTGTGGACAAAATCTGGATGATTTGGACTTCTCCTAATAACATAAAGTTCAATCCAGAGAGGCAAATGAAATGGAGATTACCTACAGTTAGCTTGTGGAAACAGCTCACTTCTCATTTAAAATATAGTCACGTATGTTCATATTGAGCATGTTTCACAAAGCACATCACCTACGACAACCCTGGTATGGATAGATATGCTATTTGGATATAGAAATGTTATCTAGATATAGCATGTTGTTCTGCTTTAGTTTAGTTTCAGTTTTCCTTTTTCAGGTGTGTTAATTCAAACATTTAAACAAATCTAGTATTAAAGGAACAGCATTGCCAACCTTTGGGGTCCAAAGCATTTTGTGATTCCATTTTCCTGTCTTAATCAAGAACTTCACTTGGTAAATACATAGAATGTCTTAAAAAAAATAGCAACTATATATTTTTGTTGCCTCCTCCCCCCCACCCCGCCAAAAAAAAAAATCACAAAAGTAATTAGATATGGCAGATGTTCATTAATTAGCAGCGGGGATTTACACTGGGGACATAAAACTGCAAGATTTGAAAGGTAGGTGGCCTACCTCTAACATTCTGTAGACAAAATTTTCATGTAGTAGTTTTTGCATAAACATTATAAAGCAATATTAAATACCTCTCATCAAATAAATGAACAAAGCTCTTTCAGGAACTATTATTTAATAATTGTCAAGGACTTGTGCAGACAAATACACTTTCTGACAGCAGCACTGCTTGGAAGGCTGTGGGCTATAGGCTCTCACATAGTCGTCTGAAATTTTCTAACTCAGTTTCAAGGGACATTATTAATATCTTCAACAATACTTCAGTTTCTTAATGTTTCTCAAAAATATTTTTTCAAACATTGAGTAGGTTTCTAAGGTTTTAAATAACCAGACTTAAATTTATTTTTCTAATAAAATACACAAGAAATCTTTGGTGAGATACTTTTTAATCTACTCTAGTATTAAAGGGTAGACCTAGTCTGCTCGAGCCTTCCTCTGTCTGATGCGCTGCTTGACAAGAAGCATGAACGAAGCAGTCTAGATGTTAGTGTTCACTAAACAATTTAGGACTTAAACAATGTTTCTCCATGCATATGGCACACTATCAAAGCTTAGATCAAACAGTCCTCAGACTCTAGAAGACCCTCTATTGTCTAAACAAAAATGAGTTTAGAATATTTGAACTGAGTCTTGTCTTCTGAGTTTGAGCTTGATTTTCTGGTCCATACTCATAAAAGCCTCTATTTATTTTAGTTCTGTATAAAATGACACATCTAAAAATAAGGTTAAAAGCCATATTTTCTATTCCCATTTATTCTAAATAGTCTTGTAACTGTTTTTTGACTGAAAATTAAAACTTGCTGTTTGAGTCCATTGAAATAATATTTAATATAAAGTGTGTCTGAATGCCAGGTTTGTCCAGCTTGCTAAAAACTTCTTTTTACTCCAAGGATGGAGGAATTACAGCTGTTTCCATCGTATTATCTAAAATTCCTTTCATACATGAGGTGTTTCTATTCCAATCCTAAGTTTTTCATAACAAATTAGAGAGCTAAAACAGTTGTTAATAAGACATATAGGTTGTTGCTCTTCAGAATTTGAATTTTGTGGCTCTGTATTTATTTGCTGTACACTACTGATCTTCCAACTCTCTATTTTGTTAATTTTTTTTCCTCCAATAACTAATCCAGACAAAGGAAATTCTCCACCAGCAAACTCTGAAATCCTGCAGAAGGAACATGGAGATCAGATAACGTACGTTTGCCTTATTGAGAAATTCTACCCAGAAGTTATTCGGGTGACATGGACCGATGGAGAAAATAAGGAGGTAACGAACGACGTAGCAAAAGGAGACCCCTGGAAGTCCACGGAAGGGGATGAATACTCGATCGGCAGCTGGTTAACTGTACCAGCGCAGAACAAAGACAAGAACTATTACTGCAAATATGAGCATGAAAGCAAAGAAGGTTCACTGCAGACACAAGGTACATACTAAATGTTAAAAATTTCATTCTACTTATTATTATAGACATCACTTTTTCTTGGCAGTAAAATTATAGAAATAATGCTTTCTATCACTGTTCCTGAAAGCATCTGTTCTCCTTGGCACAACAACTACTAAAACAAACCACCAAAGTTTTCCCAGGAAAAGCAACCCAGCCTGTGCTATGCTCCCCAAGTGAATGTCTCTTTGTAACAGGAAAAGAGCAGTTCTTGAACGTCATCAGGTGTACACTAGCATAGCTCCAAAAGGTCTGCACTGAGCCGTGGCGGTTAATTCCCAGTCTACACTCATAGTCCAGCAATAGTGAGGTAATAATTATGTATGAAAAGAAGATATCTCATTTAATTGTGGAAAGATTTTGGAATTGTGGAAAGACACAAAGCAAAATCTGAAAGATAATGCAATTTTACAGAAAAAAGTAACCTATAATCAACGCAAATTGCTTACATCATGCTAATATCTTTAAGAAAAGATGCCTATATTGGATTAGATTAATATTTTCTCAATACCTACCTCTGTTCAACTTACTATAAATTAATGTAACTCCAATGAGTAGGAACATGGCCATAAATAACCATTACATTTCAACCTTCAAACTATATTCTGACAAAAATATACTTTAAGTTTATTTGGATGGGGGATGTATTTATGGATGTAATATGGATTTCTTTAAGCCCGTATATCAATGCATGCAAACACCATAACCAAAAAGAAGCACAAATTTGCTGCTTCGAGCACAAAAAGGGTTTATTTTAGAGAATCACCACCACCAAATTAGCAATTTCCCAATAAGGGAACCTTAGATCATACTCTCCTCAAGATTATCCTTTAGTATTGAGCAACCATTAAGTAACAGACAAACTGAGGTCTCTTTCGATGTAAATTATTCTGCATTTCTAAGAACAGCACGTTGTGAAGGCAAACAGACTCAAGCTACTTCAGTGACAGGATGAAGGGGTCAAATTGACTCCAGTTCCAAATAAAAAAGACTCTACCAAGGAACAGCCTAATGGACACATTCCTGAAAGGGCAAAGGCAAACCTTCTGCTTACGGCAACAAATACCCCGTCACGTCTCTATGAGCATTTCCCCCCCTCAAATTCTCTCTGCAAATGAATCCTACTTGTGAGCATCTGCTCTGCAGGCAGATCTTACACATCCTTTTTTTTTTTTTGTTGGCCTTTAATATTAACTTCCCATTTCACCTTTGCTGTACTGCCTCTTTTGTTCCCTCTCTCTCATTTTGTGTTTGTTAAAATTAAAGAAAAGCCTAACTGGGGCATTGAAATTCTCTTTCCGTTAGATTCCAAAGAGACTACCGCTCCTCAGGGGGAGGACTGCATCACCTATCCTGGAAACAGCACTGTTTTTAATACAGGTAAATAAAATGTATTGAAATGTGGGAAGGCGATGCATGTCATGTAAGAATTAGACATTGCTATGTATGCTCAGAATGTCATGAAAATGATCTTTCTAAATAGTGTACAGGAAATCTTTTAAGTGTGGGCTCTGTAACTTAAAAATGCTTTAGTGCTACTCTGAATTAACTTCTGTTGTGGATTATAAGAAAGGGTTCTCCTACCTTTATTAGGGTGCTATAGATGCTCTTCGGGCTACTAGGTTATTAGCCCACGCTAAGTGTCACTTTTTTAAAATACCTGAAGTAGTTAAATGCTCAGCGCTTCAGCTGATGCTCCTTTAGCCTGGCAATTGCCCAGCACTTTGGACAATGAAATATTCTTTTAGCTTGAATGAGGATTTAGGAAGAATCGTGAGCACTTATGTTCAAAAAAGCCAACACAAAAGGATTCAAGCAAACACGGTGCTACTGGACAATGAAATATTCTTTTAGCTTGAATGAGGATTTAGGAAGAATCGTGAGCACTTATGTTCAAAAAAATCCAACACAAAAGGATTCAAGCAAACACAGTGCTACTGGTAATCAGTGCTGGAAGCACTAGAATTATGTTCTTGCCTTTGCAGGGAATAATAACCCAGCGGCATTGAGAGGCAGCCTAATGTTTAGAAACCCGCTTGGTCTAGAACTTACTAGCAGTGCAAACCCACTCAAAGGACAGTCAGACATTGTATATGGTTATACACTCTCCGCTGGAATCAGTGTAATTGCAGCAGTAAACAGACTACACAGTCTCAGTTCTACCTGTCTTTTAGGAGGTTGTACAATAGCGACATTAAACAAGACTTTTCTGTCTTATGTTTGTTACAGATCACTTACTGCACAGGACGGCATACTTAGTGTACATCGTCCTTCTTCTGAAGAGCTCCATGTACTATCTCATCGTACTGTTCTTCATCTACAGAACGTGGGCTCCAATCAAGCACCAAGGAAAGAAAGCATAAATGCTCGTTTAGGAAAGGCTTACAAAATTGTCTTCAATTTGCTTTGCTATATACTTATCCATATAGACTCCCTGCTCTCAGTGTTAGATGTAATAAAAAAAAAATCCCAAAATAATTTTCTGGCATTAGTGCATAGGGCTTGTTTTGCTTTACTGCTAGTGTTTTTATATCAGTCTGCTTTTGCTAATTTTTCTGAGTATTGAACTAAGGTGGGCAATAGGAGTAAGGTTATAAACCTTGGATTTTAATCTGAAGTCCATATTGAGAAATGAGGACGGTACTTATGTTAAAAGTAGTTATGCACGCAGAAGTTCAGAGGTGTAACAGGACTTTTGACATATAAAGTACAGATGTGTTTTGTCATTGCGCTTAAGGCTTAATTACGAGTATTCCTGTGCTGTAAATTCACAGGTATTTGTTCATTTTCACGTTCAAGGATTTATTGCAACTCTCATGTATCCACCAAATCAGGACTTAAATATTCTGAAGTGATGTGTGCTTTAACAGTCAATTAAACACAATTTTAAAAAGTGAACATAATATTTTTGAATGAAGAAGTTAGATGAGCATAAAACCACTATGACACAAACTGAAAGCCTGCACAGTGTATTTTTAAAGAAAGAAAAAAATTGTAACGATCACGAACATCTTCTTGTTTAGAGATACCTTTTAAGTTTAGCAAAACCTTAAAGCTGAAGCTTTGATAGAGAAAATGTTTTCACAATGGAGGAAAAATTCTCAGATGTTGGACTTTGAACTCTTCATCTCCAAATTTCACAAATCAGTTCCTTTCAAATTTCTGTGGGAAAATCAGAAGTGAACATACCGGGGTAAAGCATTTGCTCTGTTTGGGGCAAAAACTCCCTTAAGTTTGGAGATAAATGCCTGCAGCATTTACACTTGCCGTATCTGTAAGGACGTGGAGGGCAATAAAAGCTCATAAAAGTGCATTTGTGAGGCCTGTTTGTTCTCCAGCATTTCCACAGCGTGTACCAAGATGGCTAGAAAACCTGATCATTTCTCTGTTTGTATAAATTCCTCAGGAAATCAAAGATCCTTAAAACCATCAGTTTTCTGCTTTTCAATGAATTAAACCAGAGCACTTTTACAGAGAACAATAAAAGCTAGCTCGTTACACCTTTTCTGTTGAAGAGCTAAGCCAAGCCAGGGGGAAATGCAGTCCTGTTACAACAGGATTGCCTTCTAGGGCTCACTGTCGCAAGCGAAGGAGAACATAAGTCAGGCTCAGTTCTAGCAACCATAGCTATTTTACTAACAGCGTATCTTAAAAGATATTTTACAATCTGCATATTGAAGCCAATGCGACTAACTACTGCCTTCAATGTCATGTTACTCTTCAATGGAAAGAAAGATGTGATGTCTAGTCTTTAGTCAAACTCTCTTCGAGAAAGAGCTGACATCCCATGCTATTATTTGTTAAGGCATGATTTCAATCAAAGTGAAATAAAATAGCTACAAAGGTATTTTTGGAATGTACTTACTGTAGATTTCTGTAGCATCATTGATATTACTGTCCCGGTCTCCTCTACCTTTATCTCTGCTAGAGAAATGCTTGATTGCATTAATGACTCAAGACCCCTTTCACTAAAATGACCCCAAATCCACTTGTCATGTCTCATACACAAAACTGAAAGATGCTGTCCACGCAGTGCATGAAAACAGAGAGAAAACACAGCTTTTTAAGCTTTTTGCACAAAAATGCAGCCCTATACCATGCTGAGTACAGCCATCACCTCACAGTTTCTGGGGTTTCTCAAGTACATGGTTGCAGGTTTTACATCTGCAACAAACAGCTCACATGTCCCTGAAGTTTATCTATATGGGCATATACTCTTCATATTAAGTTTTTAATTTTTATTAATATAGCCCAAATAGGAGGACAAGTGGATTTTTAAGGCTTCTGGGTGCTGGGCCGTTTGTTTGCAGGAAGGTTTGGTTATTTATTTAGTGGAAAACCCCTGTAAACTGAACCAGTCACAACTGGTTCAGAGAAGGTGGGCTGTGATGAGAACGGGTGATAAGCTGAGGACAGTTAAACCACAGCCGTCCTGCCTTTTACCACAGTATACTTCTAAACCATTTCCTTCTAATGGAAATACAACGTGATAAAAACCACATGCCTAAGTTACATGTAAATAACACCCTGAAACTCCCTGCTCGCTACGCATGTTGGTCTAACTGCATGCTTGTGATATGTACGTGTAGGGGTTATTGCTACCTCAAAAACATGGGTGCTGCAGGATGTCTGCAGGACTCGCGGTCTTATTTATCATGAGCGCAGGCCAGAGTTAGATGTTATCTATTAAATGTAAACTTCTGTTGTCAGGACTTTGCTAACACTTGAAAGACATGTCTTATCAAGCACATATATTACCACAACTGATTTTCAGTGATTTCAAGCTTCTACAAGTATAAGCATTACAGCTGCTCTGCCCCTGTTAGAGTTGCAGAATTAATGCAAATATTACAAAAATGGTTACATTAAAATCTGGTGCTTTTAATGAAAAGAAGACAGAACGAGATCAACTTTTGCCACGAAAGCACAAAGGAGAAATCAGCACAAGTGAATTTACTTGTGGAAAGGGATCTGCAATGTGTTCTTTATCTTGCTAGAATGATTTTGTGTCCTTTAAAACTTATATGCTTGAGAATATTGACTCCTCAACTATCAAAATAACCTACAACAGGTAATACGGAAAAACCACCCATGGATTACTCTCACATGTAGCTGTAAATGAGAAAGATCTGCATAAGGATTATAGCAGTCTGCCAGCAGTTAACTTTTGTTGATACTAGGCACCAACATTGATAGCTTTTAAGAGAGATTCAAATAGCGGACTACTCACTTTGAGATTTTGAAACTGCTGGGGCACCAGCACACACTTAGAAAGTGCAGAGGAAATCAAAAATCTCAAAGAAATAGTTTGAGAATTTGTTCCTCTGCACCTACAGATATTTACAGGGAAATAGATCGAATGACAATTAACAAGTTAATTGGGCAAGTTTTACCCAGTAAGTCCAAACAATTCTAGTTCCACCATAGCTAAGTTTTATTTCATTGTATTGCCAGTCTCTTGATAAGGTACACAAGACAACACTTTCCAGTAATTACCTAGTTCTTGGAAGACTAACCTCAGGAACTACTGAATACATCTTGGACAAATATTTTCACATCACCTGGGAGGCAACCTAACACACATATGTCAAAAAGATACATCTTTGTGAGATGTTACAGCACATGGGAACCATTGCCTTTGTTTTCTAATAAATAAACTCTCCTGTCAGCAGCTCCATCAGCAAGTCAGCCACAGAACCTGTTGCCACAGTTTCCAAATCCCACCAACTTCCCCTAGAGATTTGCTTTTACAGAAGTCGGGATGAATAAAGATGAGAGTCGAGTCAAATCAACAGATCTTGAAAATGGGGAGGCTCAGAAGAAAAGGCCACTCACTGTTCCTGATGAGCACTAGAAGATTTCAAATCAGAAGCTTCAGCTTCTCAAGAAGATTTCATTCCTCCCCCAGCTAGAGCTTTGCCATTTGTGGGAAAGTAAATGCACGGGGCAAGATAATCCTGAAAATGAATGAAGTAATTCTCGAAATGAGGAAATCATCTCTTGTATTCAACCAAAGTGCACTACAAAAAGATACAGGTCTCTGCTGTGACAAAGTCCTCAAAAGCCCCCAAAAGAAAGCCGAGGTGGTCACAGGGCTACGTACCCAGAGACAGATCTTGTGAGAGGCACTGCTTTGCAGGAAGGTGCCTTGATGGATTAGTCATAATTTAATGTAATTTCTTTGCGCAAGCTGTAACTGAGGCTCAAGCGGCAGCTCAAAGCTGAGCTCAAAGCAATGCCAGTCACAGGCCTCTCACCACCACCTGCAGTATAAGGCACGGTAGCTGAACGCACATGTGGCATTAACCTGGCTAAATCGCAATGGACAACACATTAGCTTGTTCAACTCACGCATGTGGGCAGGGAGGAAGAGAAGGAATAGAAGGAGGTGGAGTCAGAAACATCAGCCATTTCTATCTTCAAGTACGGTTACAAATACAGGAACAAAAGGAGAACATTTCCAGACTTAGCATACAGTCTTTCAAAACTTTCTGAATCTTTAAGTTTGCCTGTTACACCCACAGCAAAAGGCTGGACCTCCTTGAAAATATTAACAGCTTATGTTCTGCAGTTTCCATCTGCTTTTTTGGTGAAAGCACCCTGTTTCCACCAACATTCCTCAATCCACCAGCAACCAAAACCAGATAGGTGAGTCTCTCTTACATTTAACTAAAACACACTTTCCTTTTGAGTCTTTAGTGTGGTTTTAGTCCACAGTACGCCCAGGCATCATGCCACTGCATAAGATTTCAAGAATCTCCACACAGGAAAGACTGACTGTACCTGGACCCCCAGCAGTCTGCCCGGTAAGCAGGGTATTTAATTCATGACCTGTATTCCTGTAACCCAAGTTTTCCCTCTCCTAATTATCCTATGTCAAAACCAGACCTTAATTTGCAGTGGACTGGTACAGCACAGCATTATACGCTTTGTTGTCCTGATGCTTCATCACCCCTAGACAGAGCTGTAGGTCACTTCTTATGCCAAGACACTGCAAGGTTTCTTACTGTTTTAACAAGTTCTAACTCCTCTTGAGAAATCTTTTAATATCTGTCCTGAATATACTCCAGTTCCTAGTAGGTACAGAGCATAACTGCTCACCTTCATATAAGCTTGCTAAGTCCTTAATGCAAGGAAAAACACACAGAACGTGCATGTAGGCTTACAAAGGCCATGAAACATTATGAATACTTCCACCCCAGGGCTGGCTATCCTGCTTTTGCTGCCCTCTACTCCTTGGGCAAAGAATCCTCTTCCTTCAGAAAGCTTTGGGAAAGGCTGCTGGCTGAGCTCTGACTCTCTCCTTTAGACAAGCTCAAATGCAGAGTACCAGCCAGCCAGCACTTCCACCCTGAAGATGTTT